CAAACAAACAGCATTTCTCATAAAAACAAAAATTTTCTAGATCACCGCCCTCTCGGTGTTATTTTATAAATGCGAAACGTGTACATTCACAAAAGAAACAGGCTAGCAAAAGCGCAGTGAACTGGCTAATGATAGGTGTCAGCAAGTTCAATGAGTTGGGTCAGCCCCCCAGCTTTCCTGGTTCCGGAGAAGGCTTCAGCCCCCCAGTTTTCCTGGTTCCAGAGCTAGCCATTTTTTCGCCGAAAACATTCACGGTGCCGTGTGGCAACCACGCATAAACGGGACTGAATTTGATAAATTTATGTTGTAAATGAGTTGGGAACATTTCCTGAAAGTTTCAGCCCCCCAGTTTCCCTTTTTCTGGAGCTAGCCATTTTCCCGCCAAAAATTTTCATCGGGTCGTATGTAGCAACCACGCATAAAGGGAGCTGGATTTGATAAAATAATGTTGTAAATGTGTTGGGAACATTTCCTGAAAGCTTCAGCTCCCCAGCTTCCCTGCTTCAGGAGTTAGCCATTTTTTCGCCAAAAACTTTCACGGGACTGTATGTGGCAAGCACGCATAAAGGCGGCTGAATTCAATAAATTTATACTCTAAATGAGTTGGGAACATTTCCTGAAAGTTTCGGCCCCCAGGTTCCCTGGTTCCGGGTTAGCCATTTTCTCGCCAAAAACAATCGCGATTTGGTATAAAAGTTATAAAAGTCAATATAAAAGTCAAAATGTTTGCTAAGAAGAGAAGCTGCGTCGCTCGTTTGGCATGTTAAAACTAGGGAAAGTGCTGGCCGGGTCGGCTGGGCCATTAATTCGAATATTGAGAATATTGTAATGCGAAAACTAAAAGTCATAGTAAACAGGCAACTTACAATCTCCAAACTACTAGCAGATCTTCCAACTATGGGAAATATTACCCCATTCGAAATCTAACTTTATTTACTGTTGTTCGTCTGGTATTTCATCGTTGTGATTGTCATTCTTTTATGTTTTAAGACGCATCACTTGCTGAGCATCAACTTAGCTTTCTTTTTGGCAGTTACCGAGACTCGGCTCGGCTCGGCCGTTTTACTTTTACGTCCTCATTAACGTTATTTTGCGGCGAGTCTCGTCGGTACCACATGGCACCTTGCCAGATGCCACGGGTAGCGAAACCCGACGTTTGGTTGTGGGGTCGTGTGCGTTGAGGGGAGTGGGGGAGGGGTGGCGGGGATCAGATCGCAAGTCGTGTAGCAAGCCTGCGAATCGAGTCGCGAGTCGTGCAGTGGACCCGGCCGAGTTGAGCCGAGCCGAGTTTTAGTAGTTGCCTTTTTTCCCTGTTCCATGTCTCTGCCCATTCATACTCCAACAAGGCCATTAAAAGCTGTTTCGAGGAAAGTCTTTTTTTGTTTTCCTTTTGTGCTTTTGTTGCACTAGGTGTTGATGAGTACTATTTTCCGTATTCATTTCTGGATTTTTTCAGGATCCCTCCGCTCTGAGCTATTATTTTCGAATCATGGATGTTGATGGCGATAATTTACTGACTGCTCCAGATATATCATTCTTCTATCGCGAAATTGCTGAAATGCTGGAGGATAATTTCCCAGAAAATAGCTCTCAAAAGGCTCCATCGCTGGAAGTTATTGTTTCTGAGGTGTTAGACATGTGTCATCCAAAAAACCCTCATGGGTATGTATCATTTTGTCACTCTCAGCTGGATATATCGTTATTGCAAGTTAAACAAATTCTGTTTTAAGAAATATCTTTATTTGATAATAAATTTTACATTATGCACTATTATTGCTACCGAAAAGGATTAAATGAAATTTAAGGCCAAAAATGCTCGTTCCTGAAGAGTATTCTGCGATTTAGACGGCACTCTGATTCTTATTTTTATCACTTTTTGTTTAGTTTTAGCATCGCCTTTAAAGAATGCAAATTTAACACGCTTATGTCGATTTGTGGATGCAACATCTACCGATTAGCCCGCTGAGAAATATGAAATTTATTCCTCTTTTTTCTTTAAAAGTTTTTTGAATTGATATGTAATTCGTGTCGTATCGCTTTCTTTGCTTTTTTATTATGCGTTTTGTGCTGTGTAACAGCAGT